CAATCTATACTAAAAAAAAGTACAATAAGCATAACGATAACGTATGTTTTTTGAAATTTAATTAAGTGTAATGGCTTGAGTGTCTTGAGGGAAGAAACCATCCGGTGAAGATACTTCGGCTAATTTTATTTTAACTAGGTATTTAAATATATTGTGTAACTCTTTAAGTTATTTTTTGTTTTTAAACATTTAGTACGTATGTGTCAAATATTTAATAAAATAATTTCCAATTTAGGTTTAATATTACTATATTATCATACAACGTATTGTTAAAAATAAACGATTAAGAGGTCGTTACACCGACATTTGTTTTTATCGTCTTACAAGTGCGTATCGTAACAAATTGTACGCTCAGCAGATCATGTTTAACTCCGTTAATTTAAAAATTAGGGTGTATTGACATATTATACAATTTTAAGGTAAGATTATTATCTAGGCAATCTCATCGGCTTTTTATTATATTTTAATTTTAAAGCGAGTTATGAGTATTTCAAGATGTACAAACAATTTATAATTTTAAAATACTCTTAACTCGTTTTAAAATTAAAATATAATAAAAAGCCGATGAGATTTTCTAGATAATAATCTTATCTTTAATTTTTATAAAAGGTCAATTCACTCTAATTTTTAAACTAACGGAGCTACACGTCATGTTCTGCTGAACGTACAATTTGCTATGTTACACACTTGTAAGACGGAGACAATAATTGTCGGTGTAACGTCCTCTTAAGTTGATAAAGGTTATCACTTGTTTAACTGAGAACAATATTATTATATTAATTACCTAATAATTATTATATATTGCATGCATTATACAGTACATGTTTAATTAAATACATTTTGTTAGTTCACGTTAGCTAAACAGAAAAGATATACTTATAATTTTTTAAATAAATAAATACTTTTGTTACTTAGTTGGACTTACTTTTGGGACATTGCTGGAATCTGATTGTATGTCATTATTCATGAAAATGTACAAAACATAAACAACACCCAGTAACAATACGCCGATCCAAATTACATTGAAAGGCCACTTAAACAGTTTTTGGTTCCATTTCTTATATTGTGTATTTCTTTTTTTCAACAATGGTCTGAACCGAGAAAAAATATCTTTACTATTGTCATTAGTCAAACATTTTAGTTTAATTAGATACATTTTTGATATTTTGAACCATTTGTATGTTTATGTGTATTTATAATATAGGTATGGTACATATTATAATAATTGTTCAACGAATTCATATTATTATTTATAATACTTACTTGGTTTCATCGATAATTGTACGTAGATAATCCATTTTATAGAGGCCTGCACAGTTACACTGTTCAGTTTCAAGTACAAACTTACTGAAATATAATTAATTTTGATAAATGGTTCCAGAAAATAAGATTGTATGATTTATAACACTTGCATAATATTAAGAAATTAAAATATTCTGAATAGGTAGTTATTACATTAAAAGTTGGAACAGAACTACATTTGTAGTAGCTATAGTAGGTATACAACAGCATTAGTACTAATTAGATGGTTGGGCATTTGGGAACAGAACATTTAAATTACCATTTTTATCTATAATATTAAAATGATGAAATAAAAATATTAGGTAGTTATAAAATATATTGTTCAATACAGATTGATTGTAGCTTTTGATAATCAGAAAAATAATTTCTTAATAAAAATAATAATCTATCAATAAAAGTTGTTAGGTACCTACGAGTTTATTACATTAATAGCTAATTTGTTATGTAGTAAAATAATTTGATAGCTACAACAAATATTACTCATTAGTATATTATTTAAGTGTACATTAAAATCTATGTCAGAAAAACATGTGCTTTAAACGTTGATAATTTATTAATATACTATCATAGAGTAGATATAAACGGTTCGACGAAACGTCGACCACAAATTAATTAAAAGAATATCCGTTATTTTATATCATTGTATATATTCAAACAAACCATTCATAAATCATAACATTAACACGATAAATCTTGTTTAAAAGTTTTATTTAAAGAATAGATTCTGAGAGGGCCAATAAATGTATTGGTTTTACAATGAAGTGTTTAGTTCTGTCTGTCACGAATTTTTGGGATACAAAAAATATTTATTTCAGCATCTTTTTTAATAGGAAAGTTCCTAGTATAGGAAGACCTAGAATCTAGATTTAAAGAGGTCATTAAAGAGGTCAAACTTAATAATTCCCAGTAGTTTTTGAAATTACCGGGATAAACAAAAAAAAAAAATAATTCAGTAAAAATTAGAATTTTTATACTAAACTAATTTATTACAAAATCGATTTTTTTTTTTTTTGTGTAACTACAATCTAAGAACCGTAGATACTATACATTTTCACCAAATGTTCACAGGAAAATTTTCCATACATGATAAATTTTTCAAAGTATTTTGACTCTTTTCGAGCCATGAGGAAATTTCAATTTTTTTAAAATTTTTATTAAATAATTGTCGATAAATAATTTTTTGCTCGATCAAAGCGATTCAAAACTTTAAAATATAATAGGTACAAGTACAAGGTTGTGTGTATAAGTTGTTCATAGTGTAATTAAGAACAAAAAGTTGAGAGTGATTTCACAGTATTTTTTCATGATTGTCAATAAAATTTTATTCAAAATATTTTGGCTTTTTTTGTACTATTTAAAGACACTTGACATTTTTATTTGCGAGTAATAAAGCTTGAACAATAATATTAATAGTTCCTTATTTTTAATTCTTTTAGACTTTAGCAATTAAAGAGTATCGAAAATACATAGGCAACGTTATTAACTAGTTCTTTTAACAATTAAAGAATATTAAAAATACGTTCTAGTAAAAGTTTTTTTCTTTCTGGATTTTTATCAAGTCAGTACAATAATTGGATAGGTATAAATTATTCAAACGGAAAATGACGATTTCTACTCTGACGAGTTTTAATATTTTGTTTTAAACAAAAAGATATTAATTGTAGACATTTAGGGCATTCCATTATTACTTAATTTATATCGTTTTCTATAAATAATGAAAATTTCAAAATATTTAGTTTAGTGTTAAGCTTTTTAAATCATAAGCCTATTTAAGTTGTTCTACAGTACTTCATCATTGCCTCCTTAGTAAATAACAATAATTATATAATATAATATTATGCGATGTTTTAAAATAAAAATTAATTTAATCTACCATATTACTAATTGTAAAATAAATTACAAATAGTATTACATAAATTAATCATAAAATATCCTTAGAAGTAGAGTCTGACACATCGTTTCTACTTTCTGGTAAGAATCGTATTTGATATTATGCCATTCATATGTATCACTGAATTCAAATTTAACGCATATACCTACATTACAGGTAATTGTGTCTGTTAGGGATACTCGTAAACTAATAATTTATAGAAACAAAAAAATTAGGATATGAGTAAGCACTGAGTATAGTGGATAAAACGATTAGCAATTTTGCACCGGAGGATACCTGATACAGGCGGATAGTTTGGAGTGTATGTTGTTGAATTCAAAACTTTTCTGAAATCTATAATATTATTTGAAATTCTTGGATTTAATTTTTATATGTTTTTTTGAAAATGTATAAAAATACATTTGAAAAAATTAACCATAATATTATATATTATATATAGCCATATAGGTACCTTTCTATATATTATACAAATGGACCCTAATCCTTTGTCATGGCATTACTTGAGATCGTATTTCACGATTTCCTTCATATTTTTTTAAAATTAAAGAGGACATCACAAAGCATATTATTGTTCTTAAACATAAATTTAGTCCTATAAAGTTTTGGTTCTGTAAGCAATGTATGGTAGTGATGAAATGACAATGGCACCATTTGTCCAGCAAAAAATAAACTAAATAATAAAAAAAGCGGGTAAGTGGATGTCGCTCTGCTGTATAGTAGGTTACAAGTGGGTCATTATATAATGGATTGTATTAAACTTGAATTCAATGATATTATATCATTGTATAAGAAAACGATTCTGAGAAGAGACGGTTTGTCAGTTTTGATATTTTATATTGTTATTATTTATTATATCGTGTAAGTTGAATTAATATTATAATATTATTATTTTTTATTCGTTTCTATGGGGTGATAACCAAAGCGTTATAAATAAAATTCCCATTTCTAGCGGTTTTTCGTAATTTTTCGGTGGTTTTTCCCGTGGTATTATATAACTATTGAGAAAATCAAAAAATGACCTTTCTAAAGTACCATCTTGATCCAATTTTCTAAAAGATAAGGTACTATATGTTGAAATCGAAGAACTCCTTCTGGTAGAAATTTTGTATACAGGGTATAAAAAAGAAAAAGAAAATTAACATAATTGTAAAACCACTAGCTTCCACGCTCCACTCAGAATTTAAAATTTAGTTTGTTGTATGGGTTGCTTTATTGGTTGCAGATTAAAATAATAATAGTATAATATTATAAAAATATAATATTTTTTGCATTATTTTTTTTCTTATCTTCTTTATCTATACATACGAATGTTTAGTAAATTATTTTGTTCATCGGATTATAGTACGGTTAGGTTAGATTAAGATTTTATACTAATTGATATTTTTTTTTCCGGACGATGAAAAACCACTGGGTTAACCTAACCACCGTAGGTTGAATTAAGTAAAAACGACAAACTTGGTATATATTCTGATACTTAGTTAAATTATTATACACATACGCACGTACGTACAGCGCACCACTCGGGGTCCTCGATCTACCACAGGTAGATTACCTACCTTATAATATAGGTACTGCTTGCATAATTACAAGCAAATCTCAAGGACGATTCCAGTAAGGATGGCTATAAATTAAAATATAATATAATTTACACTTAAAAAAACATTGCTTTCACAGCGAGTTACACCCAACTACCCAAGATAAGTTGAACAATCACAATTTATTTTTCAGTGATACGCCGGGTTATTCAGCTAGTACATTACACACATAAATATATAAATAAAAAAATATCTATATTAAATCGATCATTTCACAACTCTGGTCGACCATTTGTCTCATCCCAATCTTTAAAGTCCAAATAGAACTCCCTGTCACATTTCCGTTTGAGTGTAGGAAATAAACTAAAAACACACCAAACATTGTTTTAAATAATGATAGGTTAGGTTAGGTTATAATATTTTATAATTACTTGTGATCGACCATCTTAAACATGTCTTTTTGTACATGGTCTACGTTTGAAGTAGCACATATGACATGGCCGAGAGTAATTTTCTTAATCACTTTCAATTGACCTAATAAATGGTTAAAATTCTCATAAATGCATAATGGCTAAGATTAATTATATTTATGATTTATTTACCATCGGTGAAGCTACCGGGTTGTCCTTGCACATCGTAGAAAAATCGATCACCCGCTTTGTATCGATAAAAACCGTCGGCCATCAAACACCGGGTCGTCGGACCTACAATCGCACCGTCACTGTGTTTTTCCAATAAAAGACCTACCATTAAGTCTATATCATTTACTGAGTTATAAAGTTCTTTTAATTGGGCTATAGCCTAAAATAAAAAGTAAAAAATATAAGTTTCTATAAACAATTTAAAATTTTCTAATATTATACAATTCAAGTATTATTTTTTACACCATGAAATAAATTAATAATTTTATTTACAACCAGGGCTTATTAGGGTTTCAGGTTTTGGGTGTTGCATCAAAAATTTAAGCGAACGTTTGGGTGTTAATTACAGTTATTATTGGGTTAATATTGGTTAATATGGGTGTTAAGCAGTTTAGATAAAACAAAAATTAGTTATATTTATTAGATATTTTTTTAAATTTTAATTGTTTAGCCCTTCATTCCTAATATTGTTATCATTAAACAAATAACTAGAAAATCGAACTAACTACTTAAAATACATAGGTACAAAATCAAGGTATCACTTGAAGATTGTAAAACAAAAATTATTCGGGTTAACCAGAATGTTTTATTCGAGTATTTTGAAAATTGAATCATTCGCGTTATATGGGTTTCGGTTGTTTGATTTTTAAAGGGTTTTTAAGGGTGTTAAGGGTTTTAGTTAATTCGGGTGAAAGGCCCTGCTTATAACAGTATAAGTTAAATTAAATAAATATAATAAATACATTAGGTATATTAGTAGGTTAAATATAATGTTTATATATTAGGTACTATTTGCATTTTTTGATAATTTATTCTACTTTTATGTGTATAAGATCCACTAAGTCATCAAAATCTTTGGCCAACGGATATCCGCAAAAATGCCTGACTTGATTGTATGGTTGAAGGCCCACATCGCGGCCCCTTAAAATATCAGTTGCTAGCAGATCACGATTACCGAACTGGGGTGTATGGAGATTAACATTATCGAGTGAGACAGGTCCAGCTAATAAAGAATTGTTTATTGTAAGGAACAAGAAGTTGGACATCTAAAAAAATTAAATTAAAATACAAATATATTTGATATGTCATGTCTTTCATATTATGTAGGATCGTTAGGTATACAAAGCATATAATTAGATACCTAAATAATTCACTAAAATACAAATTATTTAACCAGAAACTTACATAGAAATTGTAAGAAGGTTGAACTATTCGTCCTGGAGTCTCTATAAACCCTTTTAACAATTTATCGAAATTATTATCAATGGGTAATGGGTCTGATACTAACATCCAATCGATAATTTTTACCCAGTTTTCTATTTTGTAATTATTGTTCATAAAACTTAAATTTTAAAAATCAAAATTAATTGCTTAATCAATTTTATGCTTAAATTAAACAATAATTTAAAATGTATTATTAATTATTTTATTATTTACTTTAACTGAGCCGGTATAATTGCATGTAGGACTCGATAAGCAGCAGTCGAAAATTCTTGAGCCGTCGAGGGATTTACACTGGGATCATAGATATTTGGTTGGTTTAATCCATATAATTCTTGGAAATCATCTCCTAAAACAAAATTACTTAATGATACATTTTAGTGCCAACATTTTTAGCATTTTAGCTTAATCGAAAATATAATGTTAAATGTTTAGGTACCAATAATAATCGGTAAAAAATCTTCATATATGATACGTTGAATAGTTGCAATGACAATTCTTCGCGACTCCTGATAAACAATTTCATCGGACCAAAATGGATTTAAAGACGAAAGCTTTAAAGCAACATAGTTATGAAACCTTAAGAATAAGGTCTGCATTGAAGTAATTCCTAAATTTTGATTCCCATTGTTTGGATCTCCTGTAAAAATATCTACTAGTTTACTTGAAGTTTATATAATAGTTTATATAGGCTGCAGTTAATCAATGTTGTAGTAAAATAGATGCAACTTTCAAAACTACAATATTTCATTTACTCGGTGATTAATTGAATATACCTTGCACACTACTTGGGGATTAAATGAAGAATAGACAATTTATATCTTGAAAAGTCTTTTGTAAAGCATTTAAAAAATGTTAATATATTTTTTTTCTTAAAAATATTTAAAAGCGCTAAAGTAGGTAACTTAACTGGTCTGCTGTTCAATCAGTTTCGACTGTTTCGAGTGTACCTCGTCACAGAGTAAGTCACTGTAATAAATATTGTGTTAAATTTACATTAAATGATAAATATGTTTTTAGGCTGGGCAAGCTTTTTTTTCTAACCGATTTTCTCGAGGCCTATTTTTGTTATGATGTCTCAATTTTCCTTGTACATTTAAAATATCTAGTAGCGTAATATGCTACTTATAGTATATATGAATGAAATTCTTCTTCATGTCTAGCTATGTATTTTTAATATTTTTGAAAATCTATAAGAAGTAAGAATTATATAGGTATGTGAAATATAGTATTAAAATTCCAAGCTCTACCCCCGAGCCTAAAAATTGTTATCATCGATAAAAAAATTTTAAATGCTATAAATAGCTTAAATCTAGTCTTAATAATATTTAAAAAAAACTAATTTAGGTAGTAGGAGAATTTTCAAGTGTTTCTCTATTATAAAGAAAAGTAATGGAAATTTTTACTTTTATCCTTCTCCAAAGTACCAATTATAGGTTTAATTTTTATCAGTTATGAAAAGCCACATTCAAAATTTAAAATTGGAATTTTACTGTTTCAAAAAATGATGAATAAGTAAAGAATCACCTAAACAAATACTGGATTTAAAAAATAAGTTCATGCACTACCCGCTGTGTTATTGCGACACTGAGTGAGATTTTTTCTAGTGAGTCAAGTTTTTATACTAAAAATAAACCGGGGCTGACACCCTTAATAATAAATTACATTAACCTGTATCATATCTAATATGGCTATTTGGATTTTCAATTGATGGTTCCTTGTTTTGATTGTCTAGAAATGGACAAAACATTTGACCATTGTCACTAATTGAGAAATTGAGTCTTCCGCCATCCATAGTTCTAAGGTGTTGTGCATGATTTTCGTCTGATCCATACACTTCAGACGCGTCGATGAAATGTGTATTGGTATTGATCTGATATTTAAGTATTGTTATTATTGTACTATATAAATAATAGCATGTCTAGCACTGGATTATAATGCTATTAGGTTAACAAGCACATTTACACTAAATACCTAGAAATAGAGGCCTTTAATTGTATTTAAAAATACTATTACATATTAAGTACCTAAATTATATTATGTATTTATGTAAAAAAGTCTTATACAGTTATATTGACATATTATTGTGTTAACATAATATAATATAGTTTACAATAATAAAATATGTAATTTATTGATTAGGTAAAAATAATTTAATTAATTATCTATATTATTTGCTTTTAATTTAGTTTGGGCGGTGGACATTAATAGTTATAATATTACATCTTTTTATATGACACATTTAATATAAGATAATAAAATAATAATTTATGTAATGATAATGAATTGCAATACAATATTGAGATTACAGCATAATAGGGAAAAGAAATTTTATTTTTTTAATCTTAATTACAATATTTGATAATATAGGCTAATTTGCTTATTTTGCATTCCTCTTAATTAGATCCTAATTATGCAATGTGATGAAAATTCAAGCAAATTTTACTTACAAACGTTGTGGGGTATAACGGGCAGTCGTAATAATTCCTCGATGTCTTTGCACGGAATGTACCTGTACAAGTTACATTAAACGTACTATAAACAGGATCGTCGGTTGCTTCGATAATCTCAAGACATTGTGGATATTTGTTTTTTTTATTTTCAGCCGAACAACAATCTATTGCATTGCCTAAATTACGGGTTTGATAAAGTATTACTAGGTACGACTGTAAAAAATCAAGTTGGTTGTAAGATATTAACTTACCATTCTTTTCTGATATAATATCATTAGGTAACCCCGATATGTCATGGGCTGATGATTGTGCGAATGGAAATAAAAGTACATTATTTTCGTCAACGCGATATATTTCATGATTCAGAAAGACTTGAACATTTATTAATCTTGGACTAGGCAATGCTATTCCATTTGTTTGTAACCGTAACGCGTAATAGCCTAAATGAATATAAAATATTAATATGTGGTATTTTTAGGGTTTAGCTGATTTTCATGGCTTTGTCATGTCGTTCTATCATTTTTTAATCATTTTTGAACATTGGTAATTCGAAGAGAGTATTGATAAAAAAACTAAATTATTATTAATTTTTTTATTATTATTTATCAATTACCTGAGTACGGGCTTTGCCCAAAGTACAGTAGGTAGTAGATATATAGTACGAGTTCAGTAGAAGTGAGAAAGAACTAGGTAACCAAATTAGGTTGCCAAGACACATTAATCGGTAAATTGGATTATTCCGACTGTGATTAGTTAATGGTTTGTGAATAGAAAATGGAGCAATATAGCTGGTTGGATGAGGGGGGCACGAAAGTTGATAAGGGAAAGGAGCGATAGGACATCACATTGGCAGAACCGCCAATAAGATTTTGAAAGAATCTTATGTTGCTGTTTATTAATTTTCTATAATTCTCTCAGCCAGAGTTAAAAGACCTAGGCCATGGAGTCTATTCTGATCCGTACTCAAGCAGGGGCTGAACTAACGAGTAATGAACAAACAAAAGTAACAAAATTATAATAATTGTTTGAATTAATTGTATTGCTTTCCGTTTGAGAAACGGGATTGAACAAAAAACATTTTGAATAGGCTTACTTGAGGGTTTGTACTTAATTTATTTTATAACCATTTCTAAGCTTTTTTAACACTCTGTATAATCACATTGTTATAAAATAAATAAATGTATTTTATAACCATGTGACTATACATGATGTTAAAAAAAGCTTAGAAATATAGTCATAAAACTAATAATTAGGCCTGTCAAACGATAATAATATAATATGATAAATTTAATGAGGTAATTTAAGAGGACGTCGTACCCGTATAGTCTGTTGTATCATACAACTTGTATGTTGTCTCTATCTTCCACACTTACAACAAAGTAATTTTCGTTCAACAGTTTCAATAGTGTGCTGTTAGTTTTGATATTAGAGTGAATTGACCTATTATCAAACTTTAAGGTAAGAACATTATCTATTCTCTCTTGTTAGTTTTTTTTTATATTTTAATTTTTAAGTGAGTTATGAGCATTTTCAGAAATATTAATATTTTAAATACTTAAAAATTAAAATATCATAAAAAACTAAGAGAGAACACAGACAATGTTCTTACCTATAAGTTTTATAATAGGTCAATTCACTCTAATATCAAAACTAACAGCACACTATTAAAACTGGTGAACGAAAATTTGTTATGTCGTACGTGTATAAGACGGATACAACATAATATGGATTATGAGACAATATGAGGTTGCGACGTCCTCTTAATATATTATCTAATAAATGTGCAGCGGTGATATCTGTTAAAATTTCTGTATGTTATACGTAAAATATGCAAACATAAAAAAATATGCAAATATGCAAACATAAAAAAATATGCAAATATGCAAACAGTACGTATGCATAATCAATGTATGTGCCACATAAATTGACTATGCGTATGGACATTAAAGTTTTTCCACATTTTTAAAGTAAAACATATGTAATATCTTACCATCACTGTAATTGGCATCATTCATACGAAAAAATGGCGTTGTTGAGGCACCCCAAGTGGGAGTCCCCAAATTATTACAAGATCCATTTGCACTTCTATATTTGGCATCTGGATCACATTTAACTATAGGAGCACATTTCTTTAAAAAGTCATCGTTTGTGGTTGCAATACTCGTGATGTGTAGTGGATTTTTTTTCTATAATAATAGCATATAACTTATATTATATAATAATATTGATGTAATGATTTAATTGTTGGAGTACAAAAGACTTATAACTAATTTCAGAGATATAATATACAGGGTGTCCCTTGAGGATAATATAGCCATTAGCCGTGAAAAGGGGCAATTGTAAGCTCTCCCGAGTCTACTCCAGTACTACCTGACGGGAACATGTAATCTCTCTCTGGTCTACTTCAGTACTACCTGATGGGAAAATGAATGTTAAGTTTAACCAAATATTTATAATTTACATTTACTACACATGATATAATTTGGTATGCTATATTTTATAGATATTTAAAATTGTTATCCTATTCAGTTTATTTCCAATTTATATACGGAAAACATTTTTGTTTGTCAGTAATGAGCTACTATAGGTAGTACAAGATTTTTCATAAGCTTATCTAACTAAAATTAACACACAATTTAGCATAAAGTAACATTTTTTTAAGAGCGTTTGAAGTTTAACTCAAACGTATAATAACGATTTATTTACTAATAATTTTTTATTTTGTTATTGCTTAAAAGTTTAAATATACTTCAAACATTATTTTATTTCCATAAAAATTGATTACATTTATATGCTTGGGGAAAGAGTTTGCTAATTTAATATGACGCTCATCATAAGTTAAACTTGTATTGATTTGAAATTATAACAATTTCAAGTTTTAATTTTGATTATAAAATGAAAATAACGTTTTTAGTTATTTTGTAGCAATTGCAAAAACATTATTTATTATTATAAGTATAACTTACTATATTAGGTACTTTTATAGTTGCATGAGATTCCAGCTGAATTATAGTATTAGTATAAATGTGCACAAGATAAATAGCACCTAGTAACAATAAAACAAATAAAACTATACCGAAAATCCACTTGACCACTTTATTATTCCATTTTACATTAAAACTATTGTTTTTTAACAACGATCTGAAATGAGAAAAATAATCAATAAGTACTGTTATTCAAAATCTTGTAAGAGTATTTGTTCTACCTATTTGTATGATATGTAATATGTGTATAGTTTCATATAATAATATAATACTCACTGTGTTTCACCACTCGGAGAAAATAGATTCATTTTATTTTGGTGTTTTTCTGTTAGGATAAAAATATATTTTGTATTAAAAAAATATTATGATATTAATATAGTTCATGAAAATTACAATCTAAAAATATAAAGAATTTATATAATATATTTTATTGAAAGAAGTAATCATGTAGTGGCTCTTGGAAGAGTATAATAATATGTTTTTATCTACAGTCTACGCTTTACACGATACCTACAGGCTACAACCTACGAGAATATTTAGCTCACTGAAACACGTTTCATGTGGCTTGGATCCAACTATCAACTATGTGTATAGGTTTTTGTCTTATTGGCGACCCCCCTCCATATCGTTTTGTTGTTGTGATTATTTTCAATCTAAATCAGTGGTCGGCAACCGGCGGCCCGCGAGTCTATTAAATACGGCTTTAAATTTTATAACAACGAAATTTTAGGGGATTTGATACCGCGATTTTCTGTTTTTGTCTAACACACGCGTGACATAGTATTTTAGACGTGTTTTTTGCCAAACATTCCAATTGATCTATTGAAGCGATAAGATTTCTGAAAACAGATTTGAATTTGTCGTCAAGTCTACTTGAAATCAATTTTCCCACATTTTTGATTTTTTGATTTTAACTTCTCCAAAAATTGAAATAACAGAATTTTTAAATACTCTTTTTGAATATAACATTTTAAAAAATTTGGGTGATAATATCAAAAATGTGGGAAAGTCGATTTCAAGTAGACTTGACGACAAATTCAAATCTGTTTTCAGAATTCGTATTGCTTCATTAGATCAATTGGTATGTTTGGCAAAAAACACATCTAAAATACTATGTCGCGCGTGTGTTAGACGAAAACAGAAAATCACGTTACGAATCCCCTTAATTGAATATCATATCAAAAAAAATCATATTGTATAAATATAATTGAACGTTTCCATAAGTCATATTTTATAATAGTAGATATACCTTGATATACCTTGACACTTTGACAGTTACCGATAAGATAGAGTAGATACGACGAGTGTACTTTTTTTCGTTGAACTTACTGCATCATTTTCAAAAATTAAAAAAATAGCTGCGAAATACTTCAGTATGTTTGGATCCACTTACGTATGTGAACAGGCCTTTTCTCATATGAAAAAAATTAAAAACCCATACCGTTCACGCTTAACTGATGATCATCTCCACCATGTACTTAGAGCCAGCACAAGTAATTTTAATTTGGAAATTGAAAAAATAATAAACAATATCCAACAACAAAAATCACATTAAGCCTATTAAGCAGTTGTAATTTCCATACTTTTATATTATATTCCTTATTATAATAATATTATTAAAAACTGTAATTTTTATGTTCTATTAATCTATTATTTTAAAGTTTTAAACAGTTATTTTTTTTCTTAGTAAATAATTTCGAATATAAAATTTTAATTTTTGTCTGGCCCGCGAACTCTTTTTAATTTATGAATGTGGCCCGGGAGTCTAAAAAGGTTGCCGACCACTGATCTAAATGAATGTTAAAGATTATTACAAATAAACAATAATAATGCTATTATATAAGGAACTATACAGGAAAAAAATTCAAAATTGAATTATTCAATCGATGAAAATATGCAAAAAATTATATTAAGTTAACTAATGTACTTTTATTGAAACACTGATATAACTATATAAGGAACAAATATAAATATAATCAGAAACATCTAATTGTTTAATGAACAAAACCATTAGTCTTACTTTGTCTAGAATTTAAAAATGAAACCAATATTATTTAGATTCTTAATTATTATAAATGCGTGAAAGGTGAACATAGTCTCTTCGATCACTTGGAACGTGTACCAACATTTTTTTTTTTTTTTTTTCATAAGGTTTCAACTTCTGAGGTCATTAGCCTGTAATAATTATAAAGTATTAATCTTACAACTATGGAGGAACATTTTGTTTTACATTAAAGGGAGTATTTTTCGTTGATTATTTTGGCTATTTTGAACTTGAGTTGGTTTCATACACAATTTATAGGTACATATTTTTACGTTCACAATGACTTTCCGTGGACTTTAACGCCATTAGTCGTATAGGAATGAACCGATAAATTTCGAAGACAGGTAACTGGAAGTTGTTTAGTAAATTGTTTAATGTTTTTGTGGATAGGTACAGACTGGTTATACGGTTGGTCGTGGGGAAACCGGTTTCCAACTGGAATTTCTTAATTTAACATACTGAATTACCTGGCCGCTGCTGCCGTTTATAATGTAGGTATATTCTTATTATATAGGTAGGTATACTTTGATATAATATTTTAAATAAATATATTTAATATGTATATGTATTATGTATAATATATTTAGTACCTAGTGGCTAGTTTATATAGCCCTGCATTCGCTATATGCCTATATGTTAGGTAGAAAGAAGTCTTAGATCATATTATCAAGGTTCCGATCATTGTAAAGTTGGTGTAGTTTTAAACTTAACTGAGTAGTATTTCCACGTATGCTTTAACACATACTGTTGAATTAACTCGTTTCTAAATTCTACAGATACACTCATATTTTTGTATATAAAAAAATATTCACAAGTTATAATATTGTGTACCTATTAATTATTATTATTAATTCCGGTAAGTGAATAATAATGTATCGCAAAAACAATTAAAGTACTTAGTACTTTTTGTATTTACATTAATACCTACTTTTTACACTTTTACAACTTGATTATATATTATGTGCTCGTACCATATAAAACACTTAAACTATAAAAATAAACCCTGATTTAGGACTAACTTAAAAACCGTCTGCGATTTAGCGTTTTGTCACTAAAATATACATATTAAATATTAATATGTAGGGTTGAGGACTTCTAGATTTTCATACTTGCCTAGGGAGGTCGCAGAATAATGTGAGTGATTTATAAATGTGTTTCATACTACCAGTAAGTTACACTGACAATTTTATTTGGTTTATTTTTTCATATCTTGTTGTTATTCCGTATAAATGCATATTTGAGCATATATTAGAAAAAATATGAACATATTTTGCCAGTTTTCGATCTAATAAAGTTAGTTAGGACAAATAAGAAAGTATTTTGAAAAATTTTGATAAACTTTAAGTGTAAAATGTTGGTCTTTGACAAATTGAGAGTATATTATTATATTATGTATACATTTGGAAAATTGAATATTTAAAAATATACTAGTACCACACTAATCACAGCATATCGGTCGATTATCTGGGCGATAACACTACAACGAGTGTAGCAGGAAGTGTTAATTGGTAAATATTAATTTTTCAAGTTTTTATTAACGTCGGACGTGACATGCGGGATGTGTTGTCTCCGTCTTACAAGTGCGTAACATAGCAAATTCTACGCAAAGCAGAACACGTGTAGCTCAGTTAGTTTAAAAATTAGAGTGAATTGACCTCTTATAAAATCTAAAGTTAAGATTATTATCTAGACAACCTCATGGGCTTTTTATTATATTTTGATTTTTAAGCGAGCTATGAGTATTTTAAAATTGTAAATTGTTTATTGATCTTAAGGTACTCATAACTAGCTTAAAAATTAAAATATTATAAAAATCCTATGAGGTTGTCTGGATAATAATCTTACCTTTAGATTTTATAAGAGGTCAATTCACTCTAATTTTTAAACTAACGGAGCTACACGTGTTCTGCTTTGCGTAGAATTTGCTATGTTACGCACTTGTAAGACGGAGACAACACTTGCGGGTATCACGTCCGTAAATACCTACCTAAACAAACTATCTTTTTATATTTTTGTTTTCATATTAATTGTATAATTTAAGTACCAAAAGTCATATTAGACACCTTTTAAAGCATATTTTAAGTGAGTATTTGCTGTTTTTGTAGTGCAAACATATTTCCAGATTTGTAAGTACTAGAAGTCCTCAGACCTCGCACTAATAATATGTAATAATATAATTTACACAATTCGTATTGCGTAAATATTCAATTAAACTACTATGTTAGTATATTTCAATAATGAATACATATTATTATTATGATCGTTTTGACTAGAATATAAGTATAAAATTGATTATCAAATACCAATATTGAATATACGTTAAACATTTTATAAAATGTTGTTCAGACATCAATTTAGTTGATATCCTTATAATTTATACCTTTTCAAACTCAATTCATAGCTTTATAATTTTAGAGGAAATTAACACTTTAATATAGTTTAATGTAATTTGAAAACAAGGAATTAATAAAAAAAAAGTCTAATAGTCTTATGAACAATATATTTGATAGGCGGTAAACATTTATCTTGATTTAATCACAACTCTATTTGGTCGTTTATTTCTTCCCATTCTTTAAAATCCAAATCGTACTCATCACATCTCAATTTGCTGGTTGGAAATAAACTAAAATACATTTAATATTTTGGTATTTAATAAAAATAGAAAACAACAATATATGTTTATTTGTTTTATATTTACTTGTGGTCGACTATTTTAAAAATGTCATTTTGTACATGGTTCACGTTTGAAGTAGCACAAATAACATGGCCAAAAGTAATTTTCTGAATCATATTTAATTGACCTAGAAAACATTTGATTGATTTATTACATAATATAATTGTATTTCTCTTGTGCAGTATTTAGTTTTTATATTTTAATGTTATAATATATAGGTAGTTATAAGAGTATATGACATACATCAGTATGTGGTCTTCAACCTTTTTGGACTCGCGACCCACTTTTTTAGCCCTACATTTTTCGTGACCCACGTAAGCTTTGTAAAAAAGCTGAAATTGCTCAATGCTTTGTAGTAGTAATATTAAAACTGAATAAATAAAATTTACATTTTAGTAGGTATAGAATATTTGTATTTATCCATTTTATTAAATAACGAAAAAATATCAACGGAAAGTTGGTGAAAAAAACGAAAAAAAGCTTTTTAAACGGATACGTAAATACGACCAGAATAATAACGGGACTAACATTTTTATACTTCGTTTTTAAACACAGCAATAGCATCAATAATATCGATAATATTCATAGATTATGGGACTCGAACGATAACAATGTATATTAATTATATTAATAACGCAGTTTATTCGTAAATTCTAATCTCAATATCTTACTACGTAGAATCATACCAATGTAAAATGAAACATTATACTTGATATCCATTATGATTAAAATATTAAATTAGGTATCATTATTAATTTTTTACCTTATAATATTACATTATAATTTTATAAATTTAATATTAATTTTAAAAAGAAGACTCATCTCGACCCAAAAATGTACTATTACATTTTAACACATAATTAAAAAATGAATTAGATACACTTGTTGAAAAATAAATAAATTTAATATTTTTTCGCGAAAAAGAGCCGTGTATACATATTAAACCAATTTTGTTTATAATGATAAAACCAGTTGTCTGTACGTATTCTTTAACCAAAATAATTTTTCGATCCATGATGATTCAAAAACAGCGTAGGTACGACAAGACATAATATATATATTATATATAAGTATTTGGCAAAATGTATATTGTACTCGGAGTATTGGATTTATTTACCGTCAGTAAAACTGCTGGGCTGTCCTTGTACATCGTAGAAAAATCGGTCCCCAGCTTTAAATCGATAAAAACCATCGGCAATTATGCATCGTGCAGTGGGCCCCACAATTGCACCGTCACTATGTTTTTCCAACAAAATACCTACCATTAAGTCAACGTCATTGACTGAGTTATAAAGTTCTTTTAGTTTCATTATATCCTAAAATAAATTAGAATTATAATAATTTGTATATTATATTTTAAACTATACTTATTTGATGATTAGCTATACTTTTATATGAATCAGATCTACTAAGTCTTCAAAATCATTCGCCAATGGAAGTCCGCATAAATGTCTGACGTAATTGTATGGTTGTAAACCCACATCACGACCCCTAACAATATCAATGGTCAGTAAATCACGTCCTGTATATGGAGGTTCGTTAAATTTGGCGAGCATGTAGTTGGATATCTATAAAATTAAAATGCAAATATATTTGAATATTCTATACAAAATAATATAATATGTAGGGAAATGTGAAATAGTATAATCACATAAAAATTGTACGAAGGCTGAACCAATCGACCAGGTGTCTCCAAAAATCCTTTGAGTAATTTATCAAAATTATTTTGTAAAGGTAACAAGTTTGATTCTCTCATCCAATCCGTAATGTTAATTGAATATTCTGTTTTATAATCCTCATTTATAAAACTAATACCAACAATTCAATATTAGTTTAATATTTTACGTTCAGTATCTATACTAAAAAGTGTGATTATTTTTATAATAACAAGTCTTTAGATTTTGGAAGTATTAATTTTGGATAGTTTGGAGTCAAAAGAAAACATCAATGATGAAAAAAAAAAATATTTTATATAGTTATAATTTTCAAGTTTTTCTGAAGCAGAGTGTTTCTGGAATTTCCAAACAAGTATTTAATTAGTTTAAAGTTTAGATGAGCCAAATAGAGTGGGAAAAATATACCTTTTTTTTTTTTATTAACATATAATTATAATATAAAAAAAATATACCTTAAATGTTGAATATCTACTACTCCACTCATTTAAACTTTAATGAAGTCATGTATATTATATATTATTTAACTTTTTTCATTAGAGACTCGATTTTTATGAATTGAAATTCTCAGAAAATAATTTATTTAAGAAAGTGAACAACTTAAAAAAATTAAAATATAAAAATGTTTTTGTTTTTTTTTTGTATGAAAAATGACTACAATTTGACTAAAAAAATATTTCTAAAAGCACATGTTGAGAAAATTAATTTTGAACTATTATAAAAGAATCAACTTGTATCTTTAATTATTATTGATAATAATATGCACAAAATGGAATAATTTTTATTTATGACATACTTGAATTGAACAGGTATAATCGAATGGAGAATTCGGAGAGCAGCGCTTGAAAATTCTTGAGACGAAGATGGATTAATGGTAGGGTCATAAATATTCACTTCATTTAATCCATATATTTCTTGAAAATCTTCTCCTGTTCAAAATAAAAATACACAACAGTATAATATTTGAATATTTTTAAATTTCAACTATGTGCCGTTTGTTGTTAATATTTTGCATACCAATTATTATAGGTAAGAAATCTTTATAGGTGATACGTTGAATAGTTGCAATGACTATTCTGCGAGATTCTTGATAAAGTATTTCATCTGACCAATAAGGATTTATAGTTGATAGTTTAAAAGCGATATAATTATGATACCTTAAGTACAACGTCTGCATCGCAGTTATTCCTAAATTTTGATTTCCATTATCCGGATCACCTATGAACAGAATCTATATATTAATTTAAAAAAATAACAAATTCTAAAAATTATTTGTTATCTAGATATTGTTTATTAAATAGTTCTATGTTTTATAACTTAGATTAAATATTTTAAATATAATAATAAAATAATACGATTTAGTTGCAGTTTACATGACATTAATATTAAAACGTAAAAACTAGTTATTCAGGTATTTTTTTCTCAAATTCGGCGATGACCACTCGTGAAATTAAAAAAAAACGGAACACCATGTTTCATTACACTTTAATGAGAATTTTAATCGATAATCAGAATGTTCTTAAAAATATAAATCTAAATAAAATAATATTAATATCACCTGACGGACGAAAAGTGAATACATTATACACAGACTCATGGAATAATTAATAATTAATAATCAATATATATACCTATACCCAACTTATAATAATATCGCCTATTTTACATATAGTTTGTATTAACCTGTGTCGTATTCGGTGTCGGTTTTTTTATGTACAGTGAGGTCCAGATTTTTATTGGCCAAGAATGGACAGAACATTTGACCATTGTCGCTGGTTGAGAAGTTAAGTCTTCCACCTTCCATCATTCTGAGATGCAGTGCATAATTTTCATCCGACCCATACACTTCAGATGCGTCGATGAAATGAGTATTATTGTTAATCTGAAATCTCCAGTATGACCATTATCATCGTACGTGGAAAACTTTAAAAATGTATTTACAAACGTTGTGGGGTATAACGGACAGCTGTAATTCCTCGACGTTAACGAACGGAATAACCCCATGCAAAATATGTTATGCTTACTATAAACAGGGTCGTCAGGTGGGTTTTCGACCACCATTTGACACTGTGTAAATGTTTTTCTTGCATTTTCATCGACGCAACCATCTATCACTCCACCTGCACTCGAAAAAAAAATTTAAATAGACTTTTTAAAATATAATTTTATACAAATATCAAAATTTAACGATTTATGTTATTTGAAAATCGATTGCGTACCGTTGTCGCTTTTTGGAATGTCTAGAAATAGACCTGATACGTCATGAGCTATCAACTGTCCAAATGGCAATAAAAGTACATTATTTTCATCAACTCGATATATTTCTTGATTCAGAAAAAGTTTAATGTTGATCACTCTTGGACTAGGTAATGCACTTCCATTTGTTTGTAGTCGAAATTTATAAAAACCTTAAAATATAATTATAGTTTCAAACCTAATCAATATTGAATTTTCAAAATATTATTACTTGAATTTCAATTTTTAAATCTTAAAATAAACAATTTAATATCATATTTGAGTGATCACAAGTTACTATTATTTTTATTATTATCTTATTGCCTTATTACCTAAGCTATCTATTATTAAAAAAAATATTTCTATATAAAATACTTTAATGCATTAGCTTTTGTCAGATTTTATTAATATTATTTTAGTCAATATTTTCACTCGGAAAGATTGTGTTGGTCCCATTTAAATATTGCCAATATCGCTGTAATGCCGAGTTGGGTAACCGCCAACGGATGCAACTCTCGCAGGCGCACATGTCAATAATTTGAGAAAAATGAAATATATTCTTGTTTGCATAACTATAAAAACTTCTAAAAGTGGCAGTAAATTAAACATATATCCTGATGTTCGACAAAAAGGTTGAATTTATAAGCTTCTAGACTATGATGCTCTTTAGGATTCACTTTTTTGATTTAAAATCGGATGTACCCAAAATAAATACAAACGTAATGAAAAAAATCTTTATTTTAAGAAAATATCAAATCGAAAGTCCTAGAAAAGCCTAGATATTTTTTCAATGAGTTCATACATGTACCAAAAATTAAAATCGGATATTCCAAAATATGTATAGTTTGCTGACGCTTTTTGGTCTACAACGGTGCTGCGATCCCCTTAATTTTAATTATGATTTTTAATTTTTAATGGATATTGTATATAATAAAAAATCCAATACATAGAAATAGAAAAAACAAATCAAGAATAATATATTAATTTAATTATTATTAATATACACTAAAATATTCTATTTTTACCATATTATGGACACAGCATTACTACAGCAGTACAAGAACAATACCTATTTACCATTTGTATACTACTTAATACTTGTACAATGGTATTACCATCACTGAAATTAGCGTTAAGCAAACGAAGAAATGGTGTATCTTTTGCACCCCACGTAGGTATTTCCAAATTATTACACGATCCATTTATGCTTCTGTATTTAGCGGTTGGATTACATTTCACTCGAGGAGCACATTGCTTTAAGTAATCATCATTTGTGGTTGCAATACTTATAATACGTTGAGAATTTCTTGTCTATAATAATATATGAACTATGTAATAATTATTATAGCATCGAAGTTAAATACAATTTAAGAAAATATTTTTAAAAAATATTTTATTATTATTGATTTACTTGTACGTTAAATGTACTTAATTATTTTGAAAATTATGAAAGTATATGATATATTATTACACAGGTTTAATAATTAATATAGAAGGTGGTTAGTTGTATTAAATTATATAATAATATGTATTCGTATTCAATATGTTTCATTTGAAAATTATAATATTGATTGAGAACCTCATTAATTAATATATGGATTGAATATTTTAAGTTTTAATATTATTTTTTTTATAATATGTGTATAAGGTATATGTATATGATTGTTAATACTTCAAAGTATATTGAAATATTCACATACGCGAGTAAACTGTTTAAAATTCAATGTATTTAGTTACATTAACTTTACCATCAACGTTAAACTGGTTAAAAAATATTGTAACGTCATCTACAAGTGTTGAGCTCGGCCCAACTCTGGAAATTTCCCAGTAGAAAATTGTTAATGAATAATACCATAATTACAACGGTCGAACAGATTAAGATAAAATTACACGCAAGAGTAGACACATATTTTTTATTATAAATCCTATTGACTTATTGCTGTTAAAAATCGCTGCTCACATAAAAATACAATTGGATTTTTGAATGTATAGTTTTTGAAGCAAGTTTTATGAGCAAGAAGTATGCTAAATTGTGGTTATAGCCTTATAGGTTTATTAGTATAGAGTATTTAGTATTTTTTATTAGTAGGTTTAGTATACACTACAAAATGTCGTAGTATTAGAAAATATTTAAATGTTTAGTTCTATACAAGTTTATTAAGTACATTGTTTAACATAATATTTTCTATTTCAAAATGTATGGTCATAATAATTAAGTTACCTTAGTGGTGTAACTGGTTTCTGGTTGTATTTCATAATTAATGAAAACGTATAAAAGATAAATAGCGCCAAGTAATAATAATCCATATAAAATCCCATTAAAAGGCAGTTTTTGGTTCCACTTTACTTTCAATCTCTTTTGATTTAACAATGGTCTAAAACGAGAATAATTATCATTTTGTAATAAACAAATATTTAAATTTAATTAAGCATCGATATAATTTATGTCTGTGTACTGTGTATACATAATAATTAATTTTAATAAATAATAATATTATGTAAGTACATTGTAAAATAAATTAAAAAAATTGTATTTTAATAATTACTGGGTTTCATAACGTTGAGACGATGAGTACATTTTATAGGGATTTATCCTGTCACGTTAACAAAACGACGGTTATGCAAAATTACTAAAAACTGATAAATTCACATTGATAATTCAAGAAATAAAAACAAAAGGATTTTATATTTACTAAATGAAATTAAAAAGTCAAAAGTGTATAAGCAGTTCGGTTTTGAACATCTTTTGAAAAGTTAATATACACAAAACACAACTCATTGAACGGTTTAGATTTAACTATTTGATACTTGTAATTTATTGGTTAAATTGATATAACCTATTTAGAAATGAAACGTATATATATTATTATACTTATCTACTATGTTATTAATATGATAAAATAATTAAAGATCGTGTAAGTCATGTAAATTACAATTGATTTAATAATGATTAAAACGTACATGTTTAATAATTAGAACAACTACAAACAAATAAAACGTACCTATTACATAATAAAAATAGGCATTCAATTTACTTATTACATAATAAATATAGGTATTAATGTTAAATAAATCTACCGGGTGTTCATGGGCGTTATTAATTATTACTTTTTTAATTCGCAAGTGCTGGAACAAAATTTGACCATTTCGTCTAAAATGCTTTTTTTATAGCAAGAAAAATTTTGGCTATTCTGTCCTGACAATCAAGCACTTTGTGCAATGTACCAACTAAAACTTATATATCTAATTTTAAATTGGATTTTTCATTTTTATATGCACCGGATAACAGATGTTTTAATTATGTTTTATAGTTACTTGATAGGAACACCTTACATAATAAATGAGTATATTGTATACATCCTTACGTTTATAATTAAACCAGCCATTGGGCAATGTTCATATAATGTACCATAATAATTCCTAGTATTTAGTAATTGTTAATATTATGCACCTCATCATCACTAATTTTTGTTTACTAAAAAAAATGTATTTATTTTAATTCTTTATAACTGTATAAGTACCTAATGTATTTTATTTGCATTGATTTTAAAAATAAAATAATATTTATTCGCAAAAAAACTTTTTAGACCTTGTAAATATGTATATCGGGTTTTCCTTTATTAGACGGGCATTTTATGTACTTGTTTTTAACCACAAATCGTTTTTAAAATATTTAACCAATTATTTTTCAGTTGATTATTATTTTATTTATAGTTAAATATATAAATCATGAAGTAATGAAAAATTGTTTACCGTCCTCAGTACTTGACCCTTCTTTGTATATCATTTAAGAAACACTTTTTTTTAAAACATTAATTATTATGCTTCAATATTATTTCTTTGTGTGCTTTTTATGCAAAGGTGCTCATTAACTAGTTAATTTATTTTCTAATCAACTTACGAACTTAACTAGTTTAATTTACAGTTGAAATAACTTAGCTTTTCTCAGTTAATTTTAAAAAAAATCCATCAAGTTAAAAACATTTTAAAATTTTTTGTTTATACGTAAATATTGCTATATCAGTATAAAATAAAAATAATCCAATATAAAAACATCAACATTTCTGTTCTTTTTTTAATAACATAATTTTGTGTATATTAATATATTTTATTAAGTTGTAAATTATATATTATGTGAGTTGCAATTATAAATGTTTTTAATACAATTAATAATTTTAAATTACAAATTGACAATTGTTATGTTTTAATGTTATATAACTTATAATATATATGAAGGTCATGTACTCATCTTCACGTATTATGACATTCAATTGCTATACGATATAAAAATATATATTTGTTAAATTATTAATTTGATATGAGTATAGCTTAGATTAGTAAATAATAGTAAACCAAAAATAAAATGGTATACAGTGTACATTATGATAAAAGTTCAATAAAATTGTTTTTTGTAATTTTTAAATAAGAAACTAGAAAGACACATTCACTCTTTATGTGATTTATATACTAATTTAAAAAAAAAATAGATTAACTTTTTTAAACTGAGTTAAGTTAATATTTTTTTCTATATTAACTTTTAACTTATCGAGTTAAATTTATAATTTGTTAACTGTTAACTTTTAACTTATCGATCTTTTTTTCTCTTATTTTAACTTAACTTGAGTTAATTATTTTCATTAACTTGCCCAGCTTTGGTTTTATGCACCTACCTACCTAAGTGCTAGACGCTAATCGTGAAAATATTCATCAAATGTGAATTAACTTGTGATAGTTTCGATAATTTAAAGTTCATATACCTATGCTGTGTAAAATAACTTAATATAGGTAGTTATCAAATAATATATTTAACCCTAAAAATTTAAAATTTAAATTGAAAATAATATTAACTTAACTTGATTAAAACAGGTAATTGTTTTTTAAGCCACCATGTGCATTAGTACATTACTCATTAGGTACTCATTAGTATTTGTGCTACTAACATTTTGATATTTATAATTTATAGTATCTTGTAATACATTTTGTATTAATTATTCCTACTATTCCTTCTTAATGCACACTTTAATGATTGAGGTAATTTTAAGTTTATCTAATATAAAAACATTAATGTTTGTTTGTTCGTTATCTGTGAATTTAAAAACTACCAGACCGACAGACTGTCTTCAATAAAAACTATACCAATAGATTCCTTGAGACTCGAGGAAGGATTATAGCTTTGTTTTTCAACTATTATAGGTCACTAAAAGGGTTATCTCACACATGAATTTTGTTTCAACTCACTCAAATCGAACTTTTTTTTGTTTATTTAAATGGTTAAGATAATAAAATAATTGTTATTTAATATAACTTACTGTACCTATGTATATATATAATATATCGTTTTTTTCTTTGGTCCGCTATAGAGTAAAAAACTACAGTACCATTTTAAGCGTGGTTTTTTTTTTAGAATTGTCTGCGTTTTCAGGAAAAGATTTAAAGTCATTGAAATCCTTGGTCTGACAAGTAAAATTAGTACATCGCTTGAGTGCAATAAATTCAAAGTTGGGGGCATTTATTTTGCACCAAACGTGTCAAATGACAACACGTGCAGAAAACTATTCCGAAGACCAATACTTGGGTACAATTATAACATGATGCATCCGCCGAACATTTATTGCATGACAATAAATTGTAGGATATTGGGAACGGAAAAATGGGAATCGATGAATCCAAACAATGCATAAATTTGCAAATAAACATATGTAAAATCAGAGCAACCACAGACGAATTCCCAATTATTGTACAGAACCACAAAACTCATCAATGGATACTGGCACGTATACGTATACCACAGTTCAAGTTGTAATCATACAAATTTGAAATATACAGTCGACACCGTTCATAATAACATTCAAGGGTCAAAATAGTCATAACAACCTAATACCGATTGTCATTGTAACCAAAATGATAAAATAAAACATATTGCTAAACTTGCTTACATATTTAGGTATATGCACATTGAACAAAGTGCATATTTTTATCACTAAATCGTGACCTCAGAGCATATAGAAAAAAATAAAATTCAAAATAAAGAAATATAAATTCAAAAAAGGTGGGTAAGTGGATGTCGTTCTGCTATACAGTACGTTATAAATGGGTATTGACGCTTAAGGTGACTCGTTACTATTATTATTATTATTATCGTTATGCGCTCGCTCGGTGGCCTATTATTGTTATATATTTTATATTACGCGGTAGAGTATAATATATGAGTATATGATTATATAATATTATGTATTTATGTTATTATCTATATATGTATATAGTCACAGTTCGTTACAGGTGTACAAAAAATACTAATATAAACATTCAGTGAAAATGTCATGTATATACAGTCATTTGTTTTATATTACACCAAAAACCAAAATCAATATTATCGAACACCGATTTTGCGTAAAAATTTCCGTTTTCCCTTAATTTTTTTTCCCGGCTCTTTTGAAAACTACCACGATGAGTTTTAAATTTTGACCTCCTCAATGCACTTACTAAATTTACTTTCTCACCGAACAAGATACTGAAGTTGAAAATCGAAAAACATTATTTCGACTATATATCGTGTACACAGACATAAATAAATTAAAAAATTAAAAAAATATTCTATTGAGCATTATGAATTATAAGTTTTGTCAATGACAATATTTAAATATCGTTCTATAATGTACCTGTTATTAGGTAAATATTTAAGACGCCGTGGATTGCTTAATGTTGGGATAAATTATTTACTGCTCAAGGCTATGATATTATGATGAGAACTAACTCACCTTTGTAGTACCTGTATGTAGTATAATATTCTTATTTATTTAATATTTATTTATACTTATATATTTACATTTTAAAGGCAATGATAAACCAATAAGAATTCATTAAAATATTCTAATATGTTCGTCTTAAGTATAGTAAACAGTGACGGCAAATGATTTCGTCATGGGAGGGAGGGTATGGTTGATTTTTAACATGCACTTTTTGATCATTAAAAATATAATGTATAATATTATCAGCTCTTAAACATAAAAAGGTCATGGAGGATCCATACCCTTTCATCACCACCCGTCAGCCACTAACTGTTTAAATTTTTTAGATTCTGAGCGGAGCGAGGAAGCTAGTAGTTTAACAATGTTGTTTATTTTTTTTTTTTATCTTTTACACAAAATGTCTACCTTAAGGAGTTCTTCGATTTCAACATATGGTATATTATCTTTTAGGAAATTGGATCAAGATGGTACTTTAAAAATTAGAGAGGTAATTTTTAGATTTTATCAATAGTTATTTAATGCCACGGGAAAAACCACCTACAAATTATGAAAAACCACTAAAAACGGGATTTTAATTTCTAACGCTTTGTTTAATAGAAACGAATAAAAAATAATAATATTATAATATTAATTCAACTTAAAGGCTAGGTATAATAACTAATAAAAATATAAAATATACAGACTGACGTCTCCTCTCAGAATCGTTTTACTCATACAATGATATATAGCATTGAATTCAAGTTTAATATAACCCATTATACATTGACCCACTTGTAACCTACTGTACAGCAGAGCGACATTCACTTACCCGATTTTTTTCATTGTTATCCTTTTCCATCAAATGGGTACTAATAATAACCAATTAAATTTAAAACCTAAAACTGAGTGATTTAAGAAACATGACACTGTTGTGTATATCTATTATATGCCTCATACCACTTAGAAACTAAAATAAATAATTTATTAATTATAGTATTATACATTATTAATGTAGTATAAATATGTGATTAAATTGAACAAGGTATATTTTTTAAGAACAAGGACATTAAATTATTTTTATTTATATATTATATTTATTGTACAATAGTTGAAGTTCAAAAAGAAAGTTTCATCAAAAGTGTTTATGTCTAACACAATTATTATTAAAATTCTTTCCATGGTGATAAGTCCAGCTTATATGATTTACAGCTATACTTAATACTTGACATCCACCTAATAATATTAGAATACATGTTAATATTACAGATTATATCATATTATATATTTCAGAAAAAAAACTATTACTTGTGGTCAACAAATCTGAATGTTTCCTTTTGCATGTGACCCAAGTTTGATGATGTACACATAACGTGACTAAGAGTGATCTTTTTCAGGCTTTTAATTTGTTCTGAGAGTAAAAAAAATTAATTGTAATACAATTGGTCGTTGTTATAATAATTACTATTATATAATATTTATGTAAAAGGCGTGTCAGTGTTTGCTTATTTTTCTGTACCTGGGGTAAAGCTTCCTGGTTGTCCTAGAATATCATAAAAGAAACGATCACCAGCTTTGAACCTGTAGAAACTGTCTCCAATTACACATGCAGTTGATGGACCAACCATTGATCCATTTCTAGGTTTTTCCAAGAGGGCACCAACAATATAATCTATGTCGTGCACAGTAGAATATAACGATTTCAAAATTTCAATATCCTAATGAAAGATAATTTAAAACAATATAATTTTTATATTATACTAGCAAAACCTTAAATAGTCGAATAATTAGGCAAATATTATGAAATGGAATTATTTGAATATTAAAATTGATTTATTCAAAGTATAATGAAGATATAATATCGATCATTCTGAATCCGTTAAGAAATGTAAATAATTTTACCTCTGAAGAAATTAAATCAGATAAGTCATTAAATTTGTTTGCTTTTTTTAAGCCACAAATGTGTCTCATTTTGTTATATGGTGGAAGTCCATTATCTCTGCCCCTTTGAATATCATAAGACATTAAATCAAATCCCGAGTATCCATCCAAATTTGGTATTTTGAACACGATATTTGTAATCTGAAATTATTAATGTACAAATAATAATAATAATAATAATAACACTATATATTTCAAATGGTTACCAAATTATTATAGGATGGTTGTACAGCTCGGCCTGGTGTTTCCAAGAACCCTCGTAACATGTTATCAAAATTTCCTATGAGCAAGTCTGGCTGCAGTAACACTCTTGAAGGCTCAACTTCATCGATAATTGAATAGTTTGCAGTCATTAAGCTAGTTATCAGGATAAGTTACTAGATAATCTATTTTATTTCATAGTTTAAAAATTATACTTGAATTTAGCGGGAATAATGTTGTGAACAGCTCGGAACGCACCACTTGTCATTTCTTGTGCTAAAGCTGAATTAATTGAAGGATCATAGATCGTCTGTCCAGTGAGTCCATACTCTTTCATGTATTCATCTCCTAAAATTTAAAAAAAATATTTTAACATATTGAATTCTATAATTACTGTATCTACATCAATAATATTTTATTATTTATTTGGTGATTATTAACTATTATATGGTAAATACTACATGTATGCTTTTGTTTTTTTTTGCTATGAAAGCATTGTGTGCAGTTATGTATAATTTTTCAAAATTCAATATAGGTATAGTTTTATTTATTATTCAAGTGTGGTGTTTCACTTATTTTTTAAACTTAGTTATAGTTTTTTTTTTTACCTAGAAGTATTGGCAAGAAATGCTCATAGGTTATAACTTGTATAATTGCACCTACGATTCTACGTGTTTCTTGGTAAACTCTTTCGTCGGACCATGACGGATTTAAAGTCTGTATTTCTTCAGCCAAATGATTGTGATATCTTAAAAATAAATTTTGAAACAATGCAATAGCCAAATTCTGATTGACGTTGACATCGCCTGTAAAAAAATGATTTAATAAGTTAATGATTTATATTGCACTATATTTTTAAATTTTAATTACCTGCGGCGAATTGAACATCAGATTTTCCTAATGGACCATCTTTAAATTCCGAATTAGGATTCTGAGGACAATATTCTTCGTTTTTTAATATCCGTGACCTAAGTTTACCATTCACAAATGTTCGTAGCCCATCAGCTGTTTTTTTGTTTGAGCCGTATACATGAGATGCATCTATATATTGTGTATTTCTGTTGAGCTAAAAATAATTTGTATCGCTTATATTATTCATGGGTTAAAATCATCTCATAAACAATTATCACATTATTACATAGGTAGGTAAATAAAAATAATATGATATACGAAATTATGATGTGAACAAATACTAAAATATATACTTTATGTACCTACTATTGATGTGCAAGTGTCCCTTATTCGTTAAATATTTTATAATGAATAAATAACTAATTTAATACTTACAATAGTTCTAGGTGTTAAAGGGCAGCTAAAATTCACCGAAGTTGTAGATCTAACAAATTTAAAGAGTGTTACATTATATTGGCCATACACTGGGTCATCTGCTGCTATCGGTATAGCGGTTTCACATTCAAATGGTATTTTGGTCTTATCTTTTTCATAACAGTGATCCAAATCAGCTTAAATTACAAATATATAAATTTAGAATTATATGTACTAAAAGGTTGGTAATTATTGAATTACTAGTTTCTATATTTATATAAAATTATACAACGGTTAGGTTTGTAATGTCATAAAATAATAATAATTTATTATATAATAATATTATAAAAAAATATGTGCATCTGCATCCAGCCTCTCAATATATTATCTATTTATGTCTCTACAAACCATAAATAATTTTGTAATAATTTTAGTAAATGAATTAATACCTGGAGTAGTGGCATTTCGAATATCATCAGGATAGAACGATATATCGTGTGTCAAAAACTGTCCCCACGGAACTAATAACTCATTATTGGCATGATCGTAGTTGCGAATGTCTCTCATATAAAATAATTTCACGCCTACTAGTCTAGCACTAGGCAATGGTCTTCCATCTAATTGAACTCTAAGCGTATTATTACCTGAATAAATTCAACAAAATAAAAGTTTAAAACTTAGTATTTATTTATTGTTATTATTATTATAAATACAAGGCCTCGACTGCATTGATCATGGGCCGTTAATAGGGTGTTACATGGAGTTTTTTTACATTATAGAATATATTTTTTTTCTTTTATATAACATCGAATTAAATAGGTAAGAAAGTACAGTTAAAATTTATAGAATACAATTAAAAGTAAATAGGTAATAAAGTAATTAATACTTTAATATAGTGCTCAGAAAACGTAAAAATGTATAGGTACATGGATATAAATTAAGAATAACTAAATTTTTTTAAATGTTAATGACATTTTTAATTAGAACAATTTATATTTATATTATGTTTTTAGTAAATCAAATAGGTAAATACCAAATGCAAAATTTTTAAATATTATGAGTTTATATTCCTTATTATTATTATTATTGTTGTTTATTACCATCATTGAAGTCAGCGTTTATCAGCCTGTAAAATGGTGTTAATGCAGCACCCCAGTTAGGGTTACGCAAATTGTTGCACGACCCATTGAATGTCCTGTATTTATCGTCTGGGTTACAGGTAACGTCTGGGGCACATTTTTTAAAGTAATCACCATTAGTTGTTGCTATGCTCGACACCCTAGAAGTTGGATGAGATTTGAACCTGACATTTGCAGGATTATACGATAACGTTGCCGCATTAAATTTAACGATGTTTGCCTCCGACTCAGCATAATGAATATCGTTTGGTGAACCATTTTTATGGAAAAATACGTACAAAATAATTGTTGAAGTAACAACAATTATTAGTATTACAATAAAAAGAGTAAACCATGGTTTCTTCCAAAATGGTTGTATTTTTTCCTTGGATCCTAGTAAAGGACTAGAACATAAATATTTCTGTTTTCAATATTTATTACATATAATCACTCATATTATAAAAACAAATTAGATACCTAATTATAAGTTATTAATTATTACAGTTGTTGTTAGAGCTGTAAGCAACCTTTTTTTTCCATTTCAAGTAACTATTTATAATGGTTAGGCTACTTATAATTATCAATATATATTATTATAAGACTATTATAAATGACTATTTAAAGTCTTAAACTTTTTTAAATTTAGAAATTATAAAATAATAAAAGTGAAACTAATACAAAAAACGAAATGTTTTTAAAAATCTTTATAGGTAAGTACTAAAATATAAAATATTTAATACAAAGTTTTAATCATTTCGGTGAATTATAATTAAATTTGATATATTTTGAAAACGATAGTATTCATACACCATATTTGATATCATGTAATCCGATAGTAATTCATTGATCATATTAATTATTGTTAATTATAATTTTGACTTTGAAGTCATGTATTCAAATTATGTTATAAGTAGTCAAGTAGGTATAATATCGCTAATCGGAATTTATTGAATTTTGAGGGGCATACATTCTTTTGTGTCGTAATAGTATTCAAGGTGAAACAAAAATAAATAATTAATATACGATCAGTCAAATTCTATATTTGTATAGCTTCTGACCTTTCAGAGGTTCTGACTTTTTACCATTATTTTCTTGGTAACTAATATCGAAATATTTGATAGTAATATGATATTGTTGTTACAAATTTAAATTCAACGAAATTACTTATTCGAATTATGCAATACATCATTAATCAGAATATTCAACCCAATTAGTAGCAGGCTTTGAATAGCAACGTGCTATATTATATGGAGTGTTATCAACTGATTAAGAATAGAACAAGTAAAGTGAAATTATTTTATGCATAAATGTGGAATACTGGACTTATTTCTCTGCAACTGCAAAAGGGGTCAAAACTATCAATCATATTTTTGAGGAATGCCAGGAAAGAATAGCTGGTGGAGGAATATAAGGACTGCATAAAGCCGATCAGTAAGTGCAAGATTGGCTACGTATCAAACCATCCGTTTATATTATTGAGATTTGACGCATAATCGCTAATTTATCATACATGATTATTATTATTATTATTATTATTATTGTATTATTGTTTGTTGGATATTACCTATTTAATCGGTTTTATTTTTTTCCCCCAATCTGTACACCAATACCATATTATGTCATATGCAATAAAAAAAATGTATCTAAAATAAATATTGAGTCTAAATAAATATAATTTGATTGATTGTTATTTAGGTAAGTACTCAACGTGAAACAAAAATCAAAATAGCTCATATCTGAGGCAGATAATCTACCTATCAGGTTACATCATTTGTCTTTCTGAAAAATATGATTAAAATATTAAATTTATATGTAATCAGAGTTAAAAACTGTAAAATATGAAAAACTTAACTCACATATGTTTACTTTAGTGACACCTTAAATTTAAAAAAAAACAGATGCTTAGAACTCAGAGAAAATATAAGGTTTTTATATTTTGATCTCTAAAACTTGATCATTAAAAAAAAAAAATACTCGATATAGAATCGAGGGCAATATTTATTTAAACTTACTAAATAAAATATCATTAGTACTCACAAAGATTTTGGAACACAAATATAAAACGTATTGGTATAGTTATATATTGTATTATTATTAGGTTTATTTTTTTAATGGTAAGCACATTTTATACATTTATATGTATACTTATCAGAAATTATAAATTATTATTAAAATGAAGCGATCGATGCATTAATTTTACAATTCAGTTATTATTTTATTATTATAAATTATAATTTACTGTTAAGTAATGTTAACGTTTATTCTACAAGAAAATAGTGCAAGAAGTGCCTTAAATAGATCATATTGTATTATGGTTTTTTAAAGATATAGGAAATAAATTCGTACTTTGGAAAAGTATTTGGCTTTCATACTAGTTTATATTTGAACCTATGAAAAACTAAATATTATGTAATAAATCAATTGTAATGAAGAATGTAGACAATACTCACTCAGTTTCAAACGACGAAGAGTTATCAACTTTTTTAAAAATATTAACCATTTTTTAATAAACCGATCGGAATGAATTTTATAATTTGACTGAATTTTATCCGTTGTTATACCTGCGCGAATCATTACAGAGATGTAAGTAATATTACATAATTACTTCCATAGTCCGCTACACGTATCAGGTTCACAACTATTATATGATAATACATTTTTAATAAACAATAATATAATATAGTGGTTGGTACAATACTATTAACACAAAATAAATTGATGTACCCATTGACGATCGGCGCAAAATCGGTGCACAAGGTCAGTTTAATAAAAAATTATAGTGAAAAACAAAATTTAGGTAGACAATTTTCTAAATTTGAAATTGGTGGTATAATTCCGAATTCTCCGTAGTAGGCTACACGAGTAACTGCTCTTTATTTTATCAAGATTTTTGCATTTATCAATACATTATTATTAATTGAAAAAAATAAAATACACAATCAATCTAAAAAAATCGATTAAAGGTAGTAATAATTAATAAACAATACAAATTGATATCGTTAATTTGATACAGATTACAATATATTTTAAACGTATCTATTAAACACGTCTAAAATATAACCAACAATGTTTTTTAATGTTTAAAACTAAATTAATTTAAATTGTATTTTTTTTTAATTTTACCAAACCAAATCTGATTTCAGCAATAATTTCAAGTTAATAGATGAACACAGTAAAACATTAAAGTATTTTAACGTATTAAAATATCACCCTCGATTGCCAACTTAAAAATCTCATGTAGGTACTTATGTTATTTAAATATGTAAATTGTTAAAAAGACGTCAACTCCATCACTCGATTTACTAAAATTATGTACCTATACTGTCTTTACATTCTGGACCTGAGTTTCGTTATAATTTTATATCAAGTTTTGTAAAATCAATATATATAAAATTTTCCCACTAGTTGTGCTGTTTCGCCATGTTGAATAACTTACTATAATATTAGTCGTTGTAAACCTAACAGCCTAACTAATGAAAAAATTAACTCAGTTTCTATTGAACGCTTGTGACGATCTGATGATTATAATAGGTATATTATAATGCCTACGATTTCCGTGTATTGTTCCTTATTAGCGCTGTTATTGTCATTTAATTTTGAATACGTAGTAAGTTGCATACTCAATTATTTTCTTGTACAGTAGTTGTACCGATCTATAAAAGAAGTGACTATTTACATAATCCACTAGATGGAAATAAACAATAAAATATAAAATACTCAAACATATTTTTGCATTTTAAAGAGTAAAAGCAATGATAATATATTATTTTCTTATCATATTAATTTTTAGAATAGTGACAGGAAGTTCTATGTGGACTACGAAAAAAATGAATTCATCAAAGACGGCAATATATTTCGATATGTTTCGGGATCACTGCATTATTTTCGAGTGCCCAGGCCCTATTGGAGAGATCGTATACGCAAAATGAAATCTGCCGGCCTTAATGCAATATCATTGTAAGTACCTGACAAATTAAAAAAAAAAAAGGTGGGCAAGTGGGTGTCGCTCTGCTGTACAGTAGGTTACAAGTGGGTCATTGTATAATGGATGGTATTAAATTTGAATTCAATGATATAATATCATTGTATAAGAAAAACGATTCTGAGCGGAGACGGTATGTCCTTCTAGGTATAAGACATATTATATACATATCTATGGTATTAAAAAAATTGACCTATAATGAATTCCAAATTAATCATATCACAATATCCATTAGGTACTTATAACGCGTTATACAGCAACAACAAACCCTGATACTATCATAGATATATATATATATAGTAGATTACTTTAGAAATTTCAAGTACCCACGAATAATATTATACAATCACAACAAAATAACTAAAATCGTAATTCTTGGTTTAAATATGAAATTTTGTCTAAATTTGAAATTAAAATGTCTGTAAAAAATAAGTGTGTTTATATATTTTTTAGATTTTTTGGTTACAGTATGAATTATTTAAGAGAATCTTTGTTTTAAATTTTCAACTCTTAGTTATAAAAACTGAACATTTTATAATTTTTTAATTCCAACGATTGATAATTTTCGAGATTTTGATAAATTTTGTCAAAATTCCAACTTTAAATGCTTATAAAAAAAAATCGTGCCTATGTATTTTTAAAATTTTTCAACTGATATTGTAACAATATATAAGAAAGCTTGTATTAAATTTTCAGACTTTTTGGCCCACCAAATAAAATTTTATTGACAATTATAAAAAAAAAAACTAAAAAAATTGAAAACTGAAAATGTCCGTAAACAGCTCAAAAAGAGTCAAAATATTTTCAAAATTGTATGGTGTATAGGAAATGCTAATATAAACATTCAGTGAAATTTTCATGTATCTACAGTTATTCGTTTTTGAATTACAACAAAATAAGGAAATCGCTACATGAGAAATCGAGTGAAAATCCAATGTTGTAAAAATTTGAATTTCAAACGCTCATAAAAATTTAATTTGACTGTCCGGTAGAGATTTTTTTATTGATGAAGGTAGATAATCTTATAAGGAATCTTTTGTTTCATTTTCAAATCTTAGATTTAAAAAGAAAAATTTTTACGAATTCTTAACTCAAAATAATTTGCTAATTTTCGTGATTTTTCCATATTTTGTCAATTTTTGAACTTTAAATGCTTATAAAAAAAAATTGTGACTAAGGATTTTTAATATTTTTCATCTGCCTTTGAAACAACATATTAGGAGCCTTCTATTAAATTTTCAAGCTTTCGCAACCAACAAATAAAATTTTATTGATATTTTTAGAAAAAAAACTAAAAAAAAATGGAAAATGAAAATGTCCCTAAACAGTTCAAAATAAATCAAAATATTTTGAAAATGTTATCGTGTATAGAAAATGCAAATATTAACAACCAGTGAAAATTTCATGTATATACGTTCATTTTTTTAGAGTTACACCAATAACCAAAATCGATTTTTTGGAAAACCAATTTTGCGTAAAAATTCCCGTTTTTCCTTAATTTTTATGTTGTTTTTCCCGGCGCTTGTGAAAACTACTGGGAAATTTATACTAAAATGTTCACTTTTGACTCCCCAAAGTACCAACTAGATTCACTTTCCTATCAGAAAAGCTACTGATGAAGAAAATCCAAGCACTTTTACTGTCCTAAAACGTGATGACAGACACAAAAATATAAACAAAAACATACATCATTGTAAAACCAATACATTCATCGCTCCGCTCAGAATCTAAAAATATGGATATAAATTTGTAACATTTTTAACTGTCAACTAAATTTTAAAAACATTACTCCACCTTAATTCGGATCAGTTAATATTCCATGCTTTTTAAGACACGTTTTACATTTTAAGAGCTTCGTATTAAAGTACCAGAAAATATATTCATTGCTTTAAAATCTCGGCATGACTGCATGAGTAAAAGTATTTAAAGTTATAACCAATTAATTTCTCGTTCAAAATTATATTTATATATGCATCGAAACACTCAGAAATATATTCTACTTTGGAATAAGAAATAAAAATGTATGATTTTTCTTTCAAAAAAGTAAACATAAAAATAATAACGGTTAAATAGTTGTTAATATATTATTTTTTATTTTAAAATATGTTTTATTGGAATGACATCAAATTATGTAAGATATTTTACTTAAAAAAAACATTAATACTCTTTGAGATAATGAGTGTTCACTGTTAAAATAATCACCCTGTATTATTGGCTGGTAATGTTGTGTACGGAAATTTATTATTCAATAGGACGTATATTTCTATCTCTAATGATATTTATCTATAGATAATTAAAAAATGGGTCATGTTTATTATTATGTGTTTAATTATATTATATAATATTAATAATTAGCTAATGGCCTAAGTTAAAGGGCTCAAGTTCAATAAATAAAAAAAATAATATTAATAAATTTCCATTACGAATAATATTCCGTGAAGGATTTCTGAATAAGTTTCACTGTTTTTGAATACAGAAAAATATTATGATTATCGTTTATTGTAATTATGCATGACGCCAAATGCTTATCTAACATAATACTATCATTATTTTATATCTGATTCATCATTGGTTTTTATTGGGTATAGGTACTATAATAGGTACTTAGTGATTGTTTAAATAATGTTATACATCTGTGTATACAGAATGAATACATTGTATAAGCGTTTGCGAAATCATTATAATATTACTATATTAATGAGATCAAAACTTGAGCTGACTTACACGTTGTATATTTGGTGAAACGGAAATGTTCAAACTTCACTTATAATTTGCCAACATAACAACGTTACAATAAAAACATTATTATATAATTTTAAATTTATAAAATGTGTAAAACGAGCAGAGATCCGGCGTTTGTTAATTTTTCTATACCGGCCATTGTTCACTGCACCAAAAAATATCAAGCTCCGACCCTCTTAACTTACGTAGAACGGTGTTAATAGGATAGTGGTAAAATAGCTTAAAATTAGCCTAAATATTTTGAAACTTCCATTGTGTGTAGGAAATTATTATAATTTAATAGTACCTAATAGTGATATGTTTCAAAGTGCTTTGATTAATATTTGTTAATAACAAAAAAGTAATAAAAATGATACGAAGATTGAAGATAAGCCGCTTATATAATGTAAAATATCGTCAACATCTGAACTTCAAGCTCTAAAAGTACAAAAACCTTTTGAGAAATCTTATATTACATTGCAAGCCATGTATTAAAATTAAAAATTTTATTGTGGTTCAATTACAAAAAAGTCTACACATTTTCATGATTTAAACGTATTTTGTAACAATTTTAGCTGTTTAGACTGCAAATTGCCATATAGGTACAGCTATGACAAATGTTTGGTGAAGTTCACAGTTCATAATTTTACACCTCTTGTCATTATTCTTAAGTTTAAATATTTGTTATAGGCATATAATAATATATATTAGTGTACAAAAATATTTATAAAATAGTGAATATTTTATTTTTTATCTTTATTGATCTGAAGCATCAGCAACTATGGCCATTAGAATTTTTTTTTTTTTTTTGGGGGGGGGGGGTTGGTTGGTTGAAAAACACGTGTATGTGGGGTGAGGATTCGTCACTAAAAACCAGGGTTGTCACTTGTTACCCATCCGGGAACTAGTGACGCCGGCAGATGATTGACCTCAGAACATGTTAGTGACTGAGGCCAACCAACAAGCTCACCATACCCCTAATAATTCGATTTGATCCAAAATCTGTTATTATTAATTTTACTCTAGGCTTGGTTTCAAGAGCCGCACGAAACTGATTTAACAGCCACTACGGCTCGCCAGCCTCGTTGTGACCACCCCTGATATATTATATACATAATATTTTAATAATCAACTTGAAATCGTCAACATCTCTTTTAATATTGATTATAAGACAAATTTGAAATATCTAGCATCTTATCCAATTCATACATAATCTATGAAAACATTTTTGGTGACTTATTATATCTAATATATTATTTGGGGTCCTAAGTGATGACTTACTAATAGTTGCGCCTATGTTGACGGGCACGAATCCAGAGCAAAGATCTGGGAGGGGGGGCCCAACAATTTTTTTACAACAAAAATACAATTATTATAAAATACCAGCTGACCCGACAGATGTTGTCCTGCATGTATAATATATATTTATTATATTATATCTATTATATAAAAATAAGTCCGGTTTTCCTCCCTGACGCTATAACTCGAGAACGCACGAACCGATTTCCACGGTTTTGCATTCGTTGGAAAGGTCTTGGGCTCCGTGAGGTTTATAGCAAAGAAAATTCTGGAAAATTCAGGAAAAATTCAACAGAAAAGTGGGGAAATCGTTTTTCACATACAGCGCCATCTATTATACATAGCATGTACTTCAAACCAATAGCAACGGTGCGTGATAAAGTGTTTGACGGATAGTTGTTTATTATATAGTTGACGGATAGTTGTTTACATTATTCTCTGCTCAGTTAATTTCATTTAAGCTAAAATAAATTATGTAAATTATGTGGATCGTGCATTTGAAGTTAAATTCAACACTCTGTCCATAGTCCAAAATGCCTAGAGAACGACGTGCGAACATCGGCCGCCGCACAAGACATGCAAGCCAGCAACAAGTATATTCAAGGAACTTAAGAGAAGAAAGACAAAATATAATAAGAGAAAATGACCGATTGAGACATCGCGTGAGCACACGAAGATCATTGGCATCATACAATCGCTTGGCATTCCAATATGATCCCACTGCGAACTACAGTGATGATGAAAATTTTGATATTGGACGAATGACGACTATATGCCGATATTGCAATGCGTTAAAGTTCAAAAGAGAAACGGTTGGATTGTGCTGCGCAAGTGGAAAAGTCAAACTGGATCCATTACTTACACCACCACATCCACTGAAAACATTGTTTGATGGAAGTGATCCCGATTCCAGCCATTTTCTTCAACACATCCTTGAATACAATAACTGCTTTCGCATG